AACTGGTGTCTGTAAAGTTCTTCATCACTGAACTCCATCACTGCACCCGACACAACTGTCTAGGACATGAAAAAAGCTGACCTCTCTGGTCCTGCTGCTGCAGATCTTCCCCCAAAATATGTCTCTGATCCATCAGCCTTCACTCCCCAGAGCTGATCTGGTTAGTCTGAAAGAACAGATGCTGAAATTGCAACACCTCTTGCTGCTCAGGAGCCTCCACCCAATTTGTGGTTTCAAATATTTTTTCAGTCTTTCCTGTGTGCACTGCTCATTGCAGTGTCCAGACAGAGGGCAAATATCTCCCTGTTCTTAGAGGAATTTATTCTAATGCCAGAGAAAGCTCTTTCCTCCCTTTGGCCCCATAAGAGTCCCATACTCACCTCCTGCAGAGCCCAGGAGCACACATGCATCACCAGCTGCTCCTGAGAGAGCAAAATTCACATGGTTTTAGGCATTTATTTTTAGGAAAGGTGTAGATGGGACCTAAGTTCCTCCCTCCCTCGCTGTGGCTGTGAAGCTGGCATTGCTGATGCCCTGGCAGTGCAGAGCATTGGGCACATGGAACAATTTCTTCCCTCTCCTGCTAAAAGGAAAAGGTGATTCATCCCATCCCAGCCACAGCCTTGGCTTGACCTGCTCCTTCCTATAATTCACAGAGTTCCCACTTTATTGTCTGAACAGATTAATTCCTAGTGCAAAAGAGGAAGCTTTCAGCCTTTCAACTTGGCTGTTTCAGTTTCTCAACCTACTTCAAGGGAAAAACCCTCATCCAAGCCATGGATTACCCCTGACTACTCAGGCCTTTTTATTTTAAATCTCTTGGGAAATAAATTCACAGAATTGGCCTCTCTCCCTTCTTGGATATGAAAGCATCTCCCCAGCTATTTCCAGGTGGGATGAGAAATTACAGAATGTTCAACTGGAATATCATCTAAATAAGAAATGTGCAAAATCCTGGTACTTTTTCATGTTCAGTTTGTGCGTTGAAAACATCTCTTCTGGAGATTTAATCTTTGCTCATCAGCAAAGAAACACAGAACTGCCTCTGCCTCAGTCCTTGGGAAGGGCTTGAGGGATGGAGGTGAACTGACTCCATTTCCTCAGCATCCCCTCAAGGTGCCAATGTTATCCTGTGAACCCCTGGAGTTTCTTCCTGAAGTCACACGTCTCAGAGCTTCTCTGAGTACCTGAACGCTGAGAATCAGTGATGTGCTCAGAGTTCTGGAAATCAGGGGACCGGGAAACATGCCTGGAGGATTGGCTTCTGTATCCACATCCCAGCTTTTAGCAGCCTTCTGGGATAACCAGTGTTGCTTCTACCTCATTTCCACTGTTTGTGTTGCAGGCTGAAAACCAGTTACAACTAATTTGGAAATTTTCTATTGCAAAATGTGAGGCATTGAGTTAAAAGTGAAACCCTGACACAATCTGCAATTCAAACAGCCAGTATTTGGGAAATTCTCATGCTGAATTATATGCAAAATGCTATGAAGTAGCTTTTTGCTTTTATTTATGTCCATTAATATTTCCTTCTCTAAAATTTGATGCATGGAAGTGTCTCTTCTCCAGTGCAATTACAGTGCAAAAACTATAGATAGGATAAATGCAATAAAAAATGGAATTTGCAAATACTATAGATACTATTACTATCTAATAGTAGTATTATATAATATAGATAGTATTACCATCTAAGAGTATTATTAGATAGGATAAACATAGTAAAATGGAGTTTGCTTAAAAATCAGAAAATACTTCTGGAGAGAGGTTTTTGTTTGCTTGCCTGCCTGCTCTGATAGATGGAGATTTGTGGATATGAATGAGATTTTTCCTAGAGACTGAGCTGGATTATTTACACTTGCACCTCAGTATATTAAGGCCATGCATTCTTGCCTGCCAGCCAGCCATAAGCAGGAACTTAGCATATATTTTATTTCATATACCTGAGGCTGAGGAAATGGAGTCAGTTCACCTCCATCCCTTCATTAAAATACACCACAAAATTCCAAGGGAATCAGGGGCTTCAGGGTAGAATTTGTCCTCTGTGGGAATGTCTGTCCCCTGGGTTTATTGCACTGGTGGAGGAAAGAGCAATCCATGGGCCTTTCTCTCTTGTGATTTAAATTTTTCTCTAGATAATTAAGAAGCCTCAAATCTCAATAAGTGCAAAGAAGAAACCAGGCAATCAGACCTGCCTGGCCCACCCCTGTGTGTCCTGCCAGGCTGACATGTGGTGGTAACTCCTGGGAAGGATGGCAGCTGTGACACATCCAGGGCCACATCTCCACTGGTGGCAGCTGCAGCAGATTTGGGTGAGTGACATCAGCAAAGCTGGGGGCTGGCATTGGCACCATGAGCAGCAGTAAGGAAGTTTGGTGCCCATCACCAAAGGCTCCCCAGCCCCTCGGGGCACCCCAGCCCTGCCTGTGACCCTGAGCTTTGCACTGCACCAGTATCCAGAGCCCAGGTGTGCTGAAACACTCCCTGCAGTCAGGGACAGCACATGAGGAATGAGCAGGAGCAGCACTGAGCAGCAGGGTTCCCACGGGGGACGTGTCACCCAGGACCTGGGCGAGTGGCACAGGACAGAGCTTTGCTCCCCATTTCCTCCTGCCTGTGGGATGGGATGGATGTGCTGAGTGAAAACAAAGCAATGAGAGCCCCAGTGAGCAGGAGTGAGATGTGAGAATGAGGCTCTGAGGGGTGAAAATTCCTCAGCAAATAACGAGACTTGTACATTGATTGTACTTAATAAAAAATACGTGAATAAATTAACATTTCCTGCTGGTTAATCTGTTCAGCATTTCTCTCTTGCAACATCAAGCAAACCCTGGCAAGGCAGCTCACCCCTCCAGTGGGCAATACAGCTTTATAATGGTAATGTTTTCTGTTTTGTCACACCTTTATCTGGCTGAGGAACAATGCCTCTCAGGAGAGCAGAGCAATTTCCAGCAGCTCTGCCTCCTGCCAGTTCCCCTGTCTGGGGAAAACATGAGAGCCCAATTCAGCACCAGGGACAACATGGCTGATGTCAAAAAGAGAAGTCCTCCTGAGGAAAAACTCCTCTCCAGTTGTTCTTGTTGGAAGACAACATGCTGCTCAGAAGGTTTGCTGCCTGAAGGGCTTCTCTCCTCCCAGCTATTTGAACCCCCAGCTCCAGATAATTTAAGCTGCTCAGTGGAAATATTTTCGCTTTCACCCAAACAATAGAGAACAGGGTATTTTCTACAAAAACACCATGGCAAAGCCCCCAGTTGTTGTGGAGGCATAAACATGCTTGGATTAATCATCAGAACAACAGGGCATTAAAATAACCTGGGGAGATGAATTCACCAGGGTTTTGTTAGATAGATGCTAAAAAAATATAATCCAAACCTACTTGTTTCAAGTACCTCAGAAGATGAGAAAATGCAGTTCATCTGGCAGCAGCTACCACTTAATTTCTGTCATTTAATCTCATTGAGGTGCATTATGTCAAGTAATTACCTTAATGAAGACTTTAATGGAAGAAGGGAGGAAAATAATAGACATGCTTCGAAGAAATGAAGCTGTGAAGTTGCTTGGTTTTTAACCTGGCAGGGATTTATCTCCCTCTCCTCTGGCTGCTGCCCTTACAGAGGTGTCCAATCTGCCTCTCTATCAAAAATAACACATTTCAGATGCTTCCCAAGTGATGCATTTATTAATTCAGATACAATAACACAGTTTCTGAACTTGAAACAACCCAACATTTAAAACCATGAAGTCCAACCATTAACCCAGCACTGCCAAGGGACCATCAAAACATGTCCCCAAGTGCCACATCTATGTGTCATTTAAATCCCTCCAGGGATGGTGACCCCACCTCTGCCCTAGGCAGCCTGTGCCAGTGTTTGGTAAAGCTTGAAGAATTTTTTCCTAATATCAAATCTAAACCTCTCCTGGCACAGCTTGAGGCTATTCCTCTCATTCTATCACTTCTTACTTGGGAAAAGAGATTGACATCCAAATTGACTTTTATTGACTGTTCTCATTCTCTTCTGAGGTCCTGCAGCTATTTTATTTATATTTTGTTTTGAACAACTATTTTGAAGAGATTTTGTAAAGCCCTCATGTGCTGATTTCCACCACCCATGCCCAGGATGTGCCTCTCATGGCCATATTGATCTTGAATTTACTTCAGCAGGTTGAGGTGACACTTTCTTTGGTGAATAAACTTCTAAATTCATCCAGTCTACCTAGGTTTCTGTGCACAAAAGCTGAAAGAAAAGCTCATTGAAAAATAAATTAATCAAGTCAAATGACCTTCCCTTTTTGTTGCCTGAAGGTATAACTCAAAAAGAAACGAAGTGTGTACTTCTTCCAGTATGGATGTGGTGGAGAAGGTAAATGAGCTCCTCCCTGATCCCAACTCCCATGTATTTCCCAGTTAGCCTTGCCTAGTGCTGCAGATATGCAATAGCTGACTCCAGACCTTCTAGATATTAAAAAAAAAAAATGTAGCCCATTTTTCTCAAATTAATGCAAAAATGTGACATTTGGACTTCCTTTTTCTCTTTTTTTCTTTTAGTATTTTCTCCCCAAGCTCCAAGTGTTGCTGTCTGCTAGAGAGTGGCAAAGGAAGACAGTAACACAGCTTCCTCCAGAAAACAGAAGGAGCAATTTATTGTAGAAGTACACACGTTTTTATAGACTCCTTCACTGAACCAAGAATAGGATCAGCTCATGGGTCCAAGGAAGGCAACACTTCTTGTAAACATGCTTTTGCCATACCAACATGTCTCACACGCACTGCCCATGTCCACAACACCAAGTACAACTTTGTTATTAATTCTTTCCTTTCTGTTATCCTTTGAGTAACCTGAGAAAACTCACATTACTGGTTTCCTTGACTTTTCCTTCAAGTAACCTAAGAAATCTCACATTACTGTTTTCCCTGACTCCAATATCCACATCCAAACACTTCGCCAACTCTGGAAAATTAAATGTATGATCCTTTGGCAGAAGCCTGTGCTGCTGTGGTGTCAGACATCCCCCTGACTTCCATCCCTGACACCCTTCACACAGTTTTGGTCCTTCCTGTGCCTCCTGGCCAGTTTCGTGTACAGGTGGAGCACTCGTTTGTCCTCGCAGCTCGGGAAGAAGGAGGCAGCGATGTCCCGGCACAGGCGGCGCGCGTAGGTCTCCAGGAACACGGTGCTGTAGAGGATGCAGAAGAGCAGCCCCACAACGAGCAGCACAGAGGGGTTGGGAGGTGTGGGAGGGCTGATCCTACAGCTGGCAGAGTTGAAGACCAGAGAATGGTGGTAGGTCTTGTTGAAGTCCCCGAGCAGTAATTCCTCAGAAGGACGCCCGAAAACTTTGAATAGAAAGGGTGTGATCCCTATTTCAACCTGAAATAAGGAGAGTTAAAATGTAAATGGTGTGTGAAGAAACCAAAATCAACTGATTACTACAGAAGCATTTGCCTAGGGGTGTGGAATCACTGTTCCAGCACTAAGAGAAGGACACTGAAGTGTGTGATCAGGCTGAGTAACAGTGTGATGTGTAGGCACTGAGTACTGGGCAGGGTGAGTCCTACCTGTCATCTTCATCCACTGCTACACACATCATAACAGCATTCACTGTATGAGATTTATGGTGAAAGATACCATTCACACTGTGGCATTAGCGGCTGAATATCTGAATATTAGAGGCTTTTTCTAAGCCTGACTATTTTCCTGTAAATCCATCATAAGCAGATATCTGCACTAAGGATCCTGGAGCTGGGGAAGGAGGCAGGCTGTGCGGCAGAAGAGGGAAGCTAAAATACCAAGCCCAAGAATATTGCAACAGAAACTGGGGGGGTTTGTGGAAAGGATTGCAGAGGGTGACAACAAAGCCAGCAAGCAGGGATTTCTACTGAGGAAACAGCCTGTGCAATAGGATGAGGAGTCATTCTCAGTTTTCATAGCTTCCCCTTCCTTTTTAACTTGCACGCACTCTGCAGTGGGGGGACATTGTCCAAGGCACTCCCATTCCTCCACCTTGCTCAGGGACATCCACGCCTGGTCTAGCAGTGTCTTTGCAGCATGAGGCACTGTTTGCTCCCCTCCAAGCTCCCTAGGGGCTGTAACTTGCAGAGTGTGTCTGCTGCTATTTGATGCACTGAGGGGAGCAACTGAGGCTGTGCCACTGCCTCCTTCCCCAAAGCCTGTTGCTCATCCAGCTGGCTGCTGGGGAGGGAAGTCAGGATTGTGTAAATAAGAGTACAAAGACTGCAATCCCCACCACCACCTCCCTGAAGGGACACAGAGTGGGGTCCCCACACAGGGCAGGACAGGGCAGGACACCCCAGCACTCACCTTGTATTTGATGTTGAGGGTGACAGGCACTGCAGAGAACTGAGCTGCCTTTGTCACCGCCGTGTCTGCCACGCTGAACGCAAAGTGGTCCATGGCCACGACCACCAGCATCAGCATCAGGGCCACGGTGACCACCATGGCTTGCACGAGGCACAGCACCACTTCTTCCCAGGACAGCTTCAAGCCTCTTGGTCGGATGAGTTTTTTGGAGGAGCCCACCAAGAGATGAGCTGCTCCTCTGTCCGCGGCTAAACGCTCCAGCTTCTTGGTGATGTAAAAGTTGTCAAAGCGGAGGTTGGTGAGATAATTTTTCAAATACCAGGTGGATTCAAAACAGAGATAGAGCATGAAGAAACCAGCAGCCAGTCTGTTGGCTACTCGTACAGAGTCTTTGACCAGTACCTCAACAGACAAGAACTCTCTGCTAATTTTCTCACCAGCAAGGTGCATTTTTTGGTAAATCAAGGAGCTGTTCTGAAGCAATGAAAAGCGAAAATGTCCATTCATAGGCTTATAAATGGAATGAATGGTTTCTTGGATTGCATCTCCAAACTCCCAGGAAACTGTCTCTAGCAGAGCAGTTGAGTTCAAAAGGCTGTCAGAGGAATTCTTGGAGATGCACTTAATAACCTGCAGTATGGTTTTAATGTTGCTTATGATGTTGGGTGTTATGTTCACCACTGCAATCATGATGCAGGTGGAGAAGAGAAGCTTCCTGCCCTGTTTGGTGCCTAAGGTGGGCATGATCATGCTGAAGACACAACGGGCAGGATGCACCAGAAAGAGAGTCAGGAGAAGGAGTGGACTGAAGGAGATGGCCATGGCAACAGAGAGGTGCCAGGAGTACTCCAGGGAAGCAAACATCCAGTTGTAAAAAAGGCCTCCAATCACTACTGTAATGCAGGAACACTGCAGAAACAAGGTCCATAGCTCTCTGCCATCTGCTGGGACAGGTTTGGAGTAAATCCACCACAGCTCTGCCATAGTTCTGTGCACCTTTGGGAACAGAAAGTCTTCACAGTAAACACGGGCTCTCATCCTGGGAACAGAACAAGTACCTGGGTGTTAGCAGAAGAAGTTCATAAATACTGATTAGAGGCTTTCTTGAGATGATCACTTACAGGGTTTTATGTTGTCCTTTCCTGGGTGACTCTGGTCTCACCCTTCTCTACTTCCCTGCTAACTTGCCTGGGTAGCTGGGGCTGAGATCTCCCCTGGCAGCAACAGGACGGGGAAGTTCAAGGCATTTATTGAAAAATAAATACTAAGTACGATGCAACTGCTCCTCTACTAATGCAAGCACAGGAAAACATTGTGTTATTCTATAAAAACCATAATAGAGTCATTCTGAGGGGCCACCTCATTGGCAGTGGTTGAGGCTTTAGTGCTTATGTAGAGGATGTTGGAGGGAGAAAGAGGAGGCAACTGGCTTCTGTGGAAATGATTAGACCAGCTCCGTATTTCAAAGGTGCTACATGGACAGGAGGCAGTTGTGTGGTGCTCTCCCTGCCTATTAAGAGGAGGCCAAACACAGATCTACATGTTTAAGGGTGACAAACAGAGAAAACATTGTCACACTGGAGCTAGAGTGCCAGAGGAATTCTCCAAGGACAAGAATTTGGCCACTACAGACAGGATGAAATGTCTCATAAAGCTATTTAAATAAATTGGGAAAGAATATAATTTCTCAGGCCTCATATCTGGAATGGCTCTCCAGAAACCAGAAAAGGGGAGAAGAGCCTGTCCCAAGGGTTAAACCCAGCCAGGCAATCCCTGTCTCCCACTGTTGAACAGCACCCTCAGTTATCCTTCGAGGGACAATTTTAACTAGGAAAAGGGGTTTTCTGTGGTAAAGCCATACAACAGCTATCAAGACAGAGAGAAAGAGAGGGATTAAAGCTGACTCTACATACCCAGTGGCAGTGAGGTGCCTCAGACTTGCCCAAAAACTTTCCATGTTCCAGTGCCTTATTGCTCTGAGAGAGGATCCTGGACGTGGCTGTTGGGAGAGGCAGGGCAGGAAACCAAGGCAGCACCAGAGAGCCAGGACACAAAACCCAGGATGTTCTAAGGCAATTCAGATCAGCAACACTGGCAATCCCTGAAGTGTGCAAAACCTGGTGAGTGAAGCCCAGGGAATAACAGCACTACAGAACAGTGCCAGGACGCACAGCACTGCTTGGGCTTCACACTTTTTCTGCTCTTACTCTTATTGCAGAGAAGGCTTATTTTAATGACACATAGCTGAAAAAAAACCAGTCACATGGGCTGACGAGGATGGAACAAGGACCATATGGAACCTGGGGTGTCATCATTCCTTGTGGGGAAATCAGATGACTACTCCTCACACTGCCCACCAGCAAGCAGCAGGCAGGGCTGGCATCTGTCAGAGCTAAGGGGATCTTTTCCTCTTTCAGACATCAGTCATGGCACAAAGGGCACAGAGGATCCAGCATCCCAGTTGGTAACTGCTCATCTGCTCTGACAGGCTGCTGCTCCCTGCTGAAACTGTGTGCAGAGTTCACAAACAGCTTCAAGGCTCAGCTCACAGTCCTAGCAGAGGAAGAGGAAGTTTTAATCTTGAACATTTCTGAATTCCTTATAGCCAGAAAATCCACTGAGAGAAAACCCAGCCACAGTCAGGATTCCCAAACTGTTGAGAAGCTCCCAGATGTACAGGCCAGGATGTGCAGCTCCCCGCTTGCCTGGCCTCCAGGATGTGCCCAGCAGAGCTCCAGCCACCAAACCTGCTCACCTGGGGATGAGGACCAGCCACGGTGTTTGCTCCTCGGTTATGAGCTCAGGGGTTACAGGAGCCTTCCCTGGCTCCCACCAAACCTGCCCCGTGCCCAGACACTCTCATGCTAAGCCAGCATTTGTGGGCAAAGGTGACACAGCTCACCCAGCTGCCACTGAGCCCATCCTTATGGGGACCTGCTGGCCCAAGCCAAGCCCTCCCTCCAGCTGGGAGCTGCGGGGCCCCCGGGATGTTCTCATGCTCCCCTGGGTGGGAAAGGGCAAAGGGCTGGAGGTCAGCCCTGTCCCAACCACCCCTGGGGACAAAGCACGTGAGGCTCTGCCCTCCAGAGAGAGGTGGGAGAGCAGCACCTTCCCCAGGGGACATGGCTGGACCTCGGCAGGCACTGGAGGACAAGGAATGACGAGCAAACCTCTGTCCCCTTCCTCTGCCCTTCCTGCAGGCACCAGTCCCTTGTGCCCTTGCTGCTCCACTCAACAGCTCTGCTTTCATAGCTGGGGGTTTTGTTTTTCCTGTGTGGCTGGTGGAGCAAAGCTTTCCTCCTGGTTCCCTGGAGCACAGGGGCCAGAGGAGAAGCTCTGCCTGGCTCCAGCAGGGAAGAGGCACCAGCCAGGCGGGCAGGAAAGAAAGTGCTGTTTGTTTGGAGCATCCATAGCAATGGCTTGCACAGGCCATGAATTAGGTCTTGAATTCAATGTGCACTCTATAAGGGACTAACCCAAAAGACCCATAGCTGGATCCTGCAAGGCTCATCAGCTTCTGCTACGACTAAACTCCTTCCTCACTCTACTTCAGAGTGAGCTGATATTAGCATCAGCCCCTGGGACCCCATCCAGGCTACACAAGCAGCTTTCTGGGGCAGAAAAAGAAATAAATTTAGCAATAGGCTATAAAGAACAGAAACCTCTCAAGTCCACAATATTGTGGTGTTTTCTGAGTCTGCTACACCATCTGGCAAAGGCACCTGAGGTCTGTGGGGACACTGAGCAGTACCAAGAAGTGTTTGTTTGCAGTCATACTTAGATTTTTTTTCCTCTGACTCTAGTCAAAATTGTTGTCTGCCAGCTGGACCTACAGCAAGGGCATAAATGTGGGGTAACTTCGATTTTATACCATCTGTAAATGAGCTAGGAACCTAACCTAAATGCCTAACCTTCCCCAGAACACAACGAACAAACACTTGCTTTGCCAAAAAAAAAAAAAAAAAAAAAAAACCAACAAAAACCCAACAAACAAAACACAGCAGCAAAAAAACCAAACACCAGTGTGTGTGTTCATAGGGATACCTGGGAGTGGGAAAGGGGCAGGACTGGGACACGGGAAAGGCAGGACCCTACATGGCAGTGAAGCAACTGTGACATCTTGTGGTCACACTCTGCCCGAGGACCCTGAGGTCTGGCTCATTTTGGTTATGAAAAAAATTACTGTGCTTGGGAGAGTTCTAAGGAGGAACACTGTGTCCTCCCGGGATGCTCCAAGGTGCCTTTTCCTATCCCGTGTCGTTTCCAGATGGTAGAAAAATAATTTGATTTCCTGACAAGCTCCAGTCTCTGTCGAGCTCAAGCTCTAAAATTTTCTAACATTACTAATTTTGACTTTTTAGCACGACAGGAGGAAACCGAGCCCCACATGCCTGAGAGCAGCTTGCTGGAACTGTGAGACAGCAGAGGATTCCATTGGCATCACTGCCAGGAAGCAGAGCCTGGCTTTACCTGGACTAGGGATGAGCCCTGAGCTTGTACCCACCAGGACAGAGGTTTTAAACTCAGGTCTGAGTGCAGACTGCAGTGTTTGGGGTGGGCCTGTGCCAAGACACCTGCAAGTTCAACCCGTGGTGACAGTGTCACCTTGTCATGGTGACAGGGGTGGAAGGGGGTACAATGCTGTACCCCAGGCAGAGGGTGGGGTAAATGTTCTATATAGCTTAAGAAAATGGCTGGAGAAAGAAGATGAATGAAGGGCTAAAATTGAATGATTTAACTTTGAAAATAATTCTCCATGGAAGTATCATCAGCACCTGTTGATCATGTTATTCTACCCATTTGAGAAATTGAGGGTGTAGGAAAGATTAACTAATTAGGGCTGGTTCTTTTTTTGTTAAAATCACTTGCAAATGAATGACTTACAGTAACACAGAGCCAGATCATCTCTTCTTAGGTTACTACTACAGAAATATAGGAAAACCTCAGCAAAATCCTGAAGGGATAAATGTGATCAGGGAACCAAGACTATTTAACCTGTAATAATTGAATTCCCTATTATGCTGGACTTTCTTTTGTTTCATGACTCTTTCCCTGCCTCTCCTGAAATTCCAGCATGGCTGCTGAGTGCAAACTGAGGAGCACAGCTCTGGAATGTAAGGACCAGAGCTCCCTGCTGTAAGGACACACAGAGAGCTCCTCCGTGTGAACAGTTTGTAAAGCAGCTTGAATGCTTCTGGGATAAAAGACAACGACAAAATGCTTTCCTACAATAAATAAACCAAAATTATTTTCCTCCGAGTGTCTCAGGAGAACATATGGATGGTGGTCCAGGACTGGATGGGGAACATCAAAGGAGTAAAGCAGAGATATTCTGGATGTTGAATTTCAATGCGTGAGTGGCATTTCCTGTTAATTAAAATTCACAAGGAGGCTGCTAATGTGAATGGCTTTTGTGATGTTGGATTTTTACATTCCTAGAGAAACGGTGCATAGGCAAGCAAAGTTCCTTTAAAATAACACAGTCAAAGTTACAGAAGGTCACTACAGCACTTGAAATACCCTTTCCTGGGAATTTTCATATCTCTACAAGTATCACAGACCCTTCAAGACAAATGGGGTTGACTTGTCATTAAAAGCTGCTTTTGGCAAATCTTAGTACTAGCAGCAGCAAATGGAATCAGAAATTATTCATGCAGGCCTCTTCACCTGTGAACCCCAGAAATACTAAATCTTAAAAGCTCTGCTTAAAAAATTAATTAAAACTCAAGCATGCCAGACTAGTCCTAGTCTCACAAATGCCTGAGTATAAAAGAGCAGGTAGTGCTCTTTTAAAAGGGAATGCTGTTGTCCACATGCCTTAAATCAGATCCTCTGGGGAGCTCTGGGAAACACAGGGGATGCTGACAGAGCTGGCAAACAGGTCTTGGACTAAAGACCTTTAGGATCCAGGTGCTTCTTACACCTTTCCCAGGCCTCGTTGTGGACCTTGAGTAAGTCACTGGTCCCCTCTGTGCCTCAGTTTCTCATTTTGGCACAGAGATCACAACCCTGCCCTGGCTGCATTTGTGAAATACTTCCTGATCCCTGGATAGACAGTGCCACAGGCATGCCAGGACACTGGAGGTGATTTTTGGAGACTTCTACACAAACTCTGTGGTCTCAGCTCTGCTTTCAAGCCCAAGGAAAACCATCCTGGATTCAATCACCAAGGATGCACCAAGTCAGAGCTGAGACCATAAACACAGCTGTGAGCCCAGCATCTGCAAGGGAGCTGGCCTGGATGTTACCCTTCAGAACTGGATGATCCCAAAGCCCTTGCTGCCTGTGCTCCAGGCTGCAGGGACAGAGGCAGCTCTGTCCAGTGGCTGATGAGGATTCCCTGCAGCAGCAGAGGTGGCTCAGGGCAGTGGGACTGCAGGGCTCCTTCCTGCAGCACCTACGGGCACAGCCTGTTCCCTCATCCCTGTTCCCTGGACCAGGACAGCAATCCCGTGCTGCTCACAGACAGCTGGCTGAGAAAGCAAACTGCAGGGAGCAATTTTCCCTTCCCATTCAGCCCATCTTTGCTAAATCATGATGAGGAGCGTGCAAGCAGAACGACAGTGCCTAAGCCCAGCACAGCCACGCAGAACAGGGATTTGGGGGATGCTCAAAGGCTCTTTGGCAGAGCTGCCCTGAGATGCTGGGCCAGGGGTTTTCCCATTGCTCTGCTGCTTAACAGGACTGCACTGCCCTCCTGGGGAGCCACTGCCCAAATCAGGGATGAAGCTGGAGCAGGGGGAGGCTCGGGCTTTGCTTTTCTCCCCTCAAACTACAGAGCAAACAGGACCATGTGATGTGCTAACCAACGTGCTTTATTTTAAGTTTTCCACAATCATTAAGGATTTTGTTGGAACATTAAGGATTTTTTTTTTTTGTAACTTGATGATCAAAGTTCCACATTCAATTGGTTTTGGTGATTTCAGTTCAACCCCCTCATGTTCCCACCTGCCACA